ATAACGTGGAGTATTTCTGACAGACCTGTTTTAAATAATCAAAGGAAGGAACCGTGCCAAGTTAACTTTGCTGCTGACTGAGTTTATTTATTTAATCAGTATTTTAAACAGATCTCATTTGGCTTGTTGGTTCCTTCCCCCTCCTCTCCCTTCCTTCTTCAAAGTGTTTTAGTTGGAGTATCTGCTGGCAGGGCACAAGAGATCCTTGTGCTATTGATGCCTGGTAGATCTTAGTGGCGGTAACAAAACAAGTACAAGAATGTCAGTGTTGAAATTTCAGTTGATTCCACTGGAGTATCCAAGAGCACACCCATCCCCCTGGGATGGCAGCTTGCAGTCTTCTGGCATGATAGGATGAGGGGATGAGTCAGAGGAGATGGAGCAGAGAGGCTTATCCTCTGGTCCGACTCCCACCTCAGTTCGCCACAGAAACCCCGTGAGTGCTACAGAACAATATTGTTTTTCCTAATCTCTCCCTAAAGAGGAAAAATCCAGGGAGTCTAATGGAAAGCCCGCCACATCAGTGGATTTCACCCCTTTTCAATTTGTTGGTCTCTCAGTGTTTCCACTGAGAGTGGCCTCCTGCACAGTAAGCAGCCCTACAGTGGCAGCAGCCTTGCTTTGCCTTTCACAGGCTCCTCAGAGCTAGTCCCCAGCCCTCCCCGCAGCTCCTGGAGCTCTAGCATGGGCCATGGGCTAGCCAGAGCAGGGTCAGGAAGATATGTGGAAGATTGGCTTCCAAGCAAGAGACATAGGACATCTCTGCAGCAGGCAGATACTATGGTGAGCTACACACACAGTAAGGCCTCTACACTGAAAGTATGTGATGACGTGTTGGTAAAGTTGTTCAGGAGAGCTGCCTCCCAGCAACACAGAAGGTATCGTGCAACCCAAAGCTTGGTCATTTATAGGCACTGGTGTTTGTTCAAAGATGGAGAGTGGGCTGATGAAGGTTGTTCTTGGGAAGCAGTCAGAGAAATCTGGAAGAGAAATAACAAACTGATCTTATTCCACATGATGATCTTCACATGAAGATGTGATTGTTTTTTTTAATAATCACTCCACACCTTAATCATTTATTTGAGAGCTATACAAATCCAATTTACATAAGCAATGCAAATGTGATGGTCTGAGAGTCTCTTTAATGAGGCAAATGTGCTCATTTATGTTCAAATCATAACAAAGAGGGGAGGAAAAGCAGAAACAATACCTTTTATTCACTTATCTGAACTTGTTTGTTCAATGGTGTCAATAATTACAAAACTGCAGTAACAAAATAACATTTTTTTCATTCCTTTGTCCTAGATTCAGACACTCAAATAAAAAGGAGAGATAAATAAATACACGTGGTTTAAATAATATTTTTAAAAATCAGTATTTTAAGCAAGTTGGTTTTATGTCTACCAATTGTGACATTCTAAATATAGCAGATGAGTAATCATTGAGAATGGTCTTTATCATTATGTGCAGAACTGATAGCAGCAGATATGCCTTTTAATTAATTGCTCTAAGGAATTGCATACTGAAATGTTGGGATGCAGAATTTTCATTCAGTAGGTGAGATATGTGTCCATTATCTGGCTGAGCGGCATAAAAATTCTGTAGTTCAGTCATTCCTTAATAGATTTTTCTGACAAATATTTTCCTGAAGCAGCATTTCATCATCAATGCCACACTCTCGGGTGGCATTTCATCAGGAAGTGTCACTATCAGAAGAAGGAATAAGACCCTGTCCTTCCACTGAAACATAAGCAAAACAGTGGATGAAAAGACCTGGAAGAAAATGCACTTCAGCACAAATGAGGACTGCTACAGAGGCATCGGCCAGTGCCTCGACATAGTTAATACCATAGTAAGCCCAGTGACAGCAACATTCAGTGCTGTGTTTTGGAGAGAAAAAGCTGGACCTCTGTTGCGTGGAAGTCTGAGGCCAGCCCTAATATTCTGTATTTGGTATTTTTGGAATTCCTGTTTGTGTGTTATGGAGGGAAGTGCAGACAATTTTCCAGTAAGTTTTTACTGCTCATCAGTTTTTATTCCTCATGAATGAGGATGCTTCAGACCATAAATCTTTCACTGGTCTAGGCTAACTGTTGCCTCTCCTGGGCTTCCAGCCAGCGTAATTTTGTAGGGAGGAATTACACAACTTGATGAGAAAGAAGTAAATAGTCCTCTCTTAGCAGCTATTTGAAATAGCAGCTGTTTAAGGCTATTCAGCAATGGCAGATATTAGCAATATTACTGGGGAAACTGTAGGTGGTGTACCATATGCACGTACTGCCACATGCTGTGCCCTATTTGTCTAATGCAAAACTCTCATTTACTGGAAAACATGATAGTGATATTTATAGCGGTAGCTGCAAAGTATTTGGATGGATTCTGGTAACCTGTCACTATGCAGTATGGATGTGGAGTGTGGGTAAGGAGACGACAGTCTAGCCTTTAATAATTCGGACTCATCAAGCCCATAATAGTCACCATGCCCCATATAGTATGTAACAGACGTGAAGCTCATGTCAAGAGAGCAGAGCATGTGCAGTTTGTTTGCATACACCCAGATCTGGGGCATGATGGTGTTGGAGGCCAAGGTGAGGGTCTTTGTCATGAACATGTGCTCAAATGTTCATGAAAAATGTAGCTGAAAGTAGTGTAAATGTGTTTGCTGCTCTCGTGTGTGCAGTGAGCATTGTTACGGCTCCAGTGAAAGAACTGCTTCAATTTATCCTTTCTGCAGCATTATATTTATTTATGTCAAAGAAATTAAAATAAAAGCAGTTGTTCACATTCTCCTTTCCTCCCAGCCCTCTCTCCTTTGCTGAGGCTTTGTTCTCAGGTCACACTGGTCCAAACTGCAGGGTGGGTGTAGTGAGCTCTGATCCAGGCCATCCTGAGGACCGTTAAGTCTAGAAACTCCCTGACTGAGAAAGTTTAGATCCTCCTTTCTTAGGGGCTTGGAAAATGTTGGTTTTTGTGTTTTTTCTCAGTAGATGAGATGTTAAAATGTCAACACATTGATTTATAAAGAATCCCTTAAGTTATTTTTATTTCTTTTTAAGTTGTTAGAACTAATTTTTCTCTCCCTGTAGAGCGTGTACATACTATTTAAGTTGTCTTTACTACCACAGTAATAGAAAAAGAGAGCAATAGTAAATTTTACAAATGTTCAAAACAGAAAGGAAAATAGAGAGTATTTTTTTCTGTAAAATGCATTGAAAAAGAAATTCTGATGTTAACGTTTTATTGGCTGTTTTTGGGGGATGAACTCTATACTTTTCCATTAGTAACACAATTAAAAACAAACAGACAAAAAAAATAATATTTATTTATAAATGAATAATATTTATGAGAATATTTAAGACATAAGAAAACAAAAACAACCACAAAAAACAATATATGTAGACCATACCTGATGATTTTCAGAGCTATTTTATTTTTAAGTCAAAATTAGCAATGGTTGTGCTCATCCTAAATATGATGCTTTGGCATTTCAAGCTTGCATAAATAGCCATTATTCTTTTTCTTTTTATGAAATTAATGCATTTTTAAACACTAGTTGTGTGTCTTTGGCCTTAGTCTCCTGAATTATCTTTTGCTTGGGAGCTAGCGCGTACTTTCTTAAACCAACAGCATTTTCAGTAAGTGAAGCATTTGCCCTAGCATCTGCTTAAAAATAATGAGAAACATAAATTTCTTAATGACACAAACATTTATTTATTTATTTATTGGCTATGTCAGGTATGGCAAAGCCTACGCTTTCAAATCAGAAATGATTTTTGGCCTCTGAAAACTGGGGCCATCTCCTCGTAGGCTGGTGAGCAGCTGCTGGGCTAACCTGGCTCCTCCAGGAGTGCGGCCGGCTCGCTTCTGGCCCTTCACCAGGTCCCTTGCCCTGGCAGCTCACCTGCCTGCATGGGAGCCAGCCAAGCCCAGACACTTTCCTGACCTGGCTGAGCAGCCATCTGGAAGAGGGCAGATGCTGTTACTCAGATGTAGATGGATCCAGGGGTGTTAAATGCTCCCACCAGGAGCACAGATCCTGCTGTGCAAAGTGAACGCTGCTGTCTCATGTAGCATGCCAAGTGGAGAGCAGTGGCATGCCTTGGGGTGGGAGGGTGCCACAGCCATCTTCAGCTTCCCCCCAAAGGGAGAGGAGCATCCTGAGGAGTGTTTGCTCTCTCCTCTCATCTTCCCACGTGGCCCCAGCTGCTGTGTTTGAGCCTAAGGGTAGAGCAGGAAATCCAAGCTGCAGCCCTGCCCAGTCCCTGCCTTTCCTGCTGCACCTGTGGATACATTTGCTTAATGGTGGTGGTGGTGGTAGTTGTTAACTGAATGGTTTTTTTGACATTGCCAAATCTTCTTGCACAGGTCACCATCTGCCTGGTGGTGAACAGCAGTCAAAAGGCTCTGCCCAGGCCATTAAGAAATTCTTTGCCTGTCCAGACCTCTCAAGTATATTAAAAGCTGAGATGCCTCCTTGTTTTGATTATTTTTTTTTCTGCTTCACAGCCTACTTTTTGTTTCTTGTCTCATGGTAATGAATTAACTGTAAGCGGTAGTGACAGCCCAGGGAAATGACAGAGGCCTGGGGTCACCCAGGGAATGGCCTTGGTAGGAAAGATGAGTCTCCTGCCTGAGAAGCTCTTGGGAAGATGGCTTTAGGGTATTTACAAACTACCTGCCTGACCCAGAACAGCAGGATTTGGCCCTGTCATGTCATACTGTAAATGCATTGAGCTTGGTGGAGTCATTGACTGATACCGGGGCAACAAAAACACCGTTTGGCCTAAATGTTATGGGGAGGTGACACTGAGGGGATCTGTTTCTCAGGGATCTGGCAGGCAGGGGAGGGAGCCAAAGTGTCTGTGCTGCTTTGGGCCATCTGAGCTTCCCTGGAGAGTTTTCGATTTCTGTCTAAGACTGTGCTTAATGTCTTTTTTGCATATATTTTTTTTTCCTGCAGTAATAGTAAAAATCTGTTTTTCTCCCCTAACTATGTGCAGGCTGGCATGGCTTTGACTTACGATCCAACAGCTGCTATACAGAATGGGTAAGAAATGCATGTTTTCTTATGCCTTTTTAAAAATTATTTTGAATGCCATCTTCTGTTTTCTCTTTCTGTGGTGAAACTTATTTAGAAGCAAATTCACTCAGTCGTATTTTGACTGAAGCATGTAATGCTATATTGTCAAGTTCTTCTTTTAGTTTCCCTTTTGTTTTTATACCCTCTTGTTTGTAATATCCATTTGAATGGGAAGTTGTTTTTCCTAATAGTTTCCATCTCTATTTGGCAAATCCCAGCGGTTGTCTTTTTAATCTATCTCTGTCATGAAATGGAAACCAGTAAAGTTACTGGCTTTTGTTAAAAAGATCATTGAAAATTCAAGCATATTTTGGATAATAAAGCTGTTACTTAATCTGGGTCCTCTCTGCTGCCTGGATGGCTTCCATGGCATTGTCTGACTGGAAATGCCAAATGGGGAAAAATCCTTAAATTAGTGTGTAAGCAGATGAGACTTACACAGAATGTTGAATAACACTCTTCGTTTCTCAACGGCCAATGCAAAGAATTGAAACTTTTTTCACATTTAGCAGAGAGGTTGCATCATCATATTATCTATCTGCATGATTACATTTTCAATTATTTCATGAAGCAGAAAAACAGATCCTTGAGATTGGCTATCCTTTCAGATAGATGAACAATAACTTGAAGAGAAGCAGGAAGTTTAGCCCTGAACTCTTTGACAACCACTCCTTGACCAAAGGGATGTTTGATATGATTATCAAATTCCATGCATACTCCCATCTACATTCTCCAGCTGAAGGGGAGAATGCATTGATATTGAGGATTGTTTTATTTGTTCAATGTTTGTTAGGGCACTACTAAGTGAAGCATCAAAAAGCAACAGCAACAACCGCAAAAACAAAACAACACTAACATTCACAGTAGCTTTAAAAAAAATCAGTATTAATAGTTTGCATATTTTGCATAATTGCCCTCTAAAAGCAGTATCATTGTAGGATGTTCTCATGAGAATGAGAACGTGATGTTCTCATGTTGTGGATGAAACAACCAAGATGGAGCAACTCAGAAAAAGAAGTTTTTTTGTTTTTTTTTTTTTGTTTGTTTGTTTGTTTGTTTGTTTTTTCAGAGCTGTGATTTCAGAATCCTCTGGTTTTGCTTCCCTGTTCTGACCCCCCAAACAAGTCTTTCTTCTCTATCATCATTCTTTTCAGCTGGTAACTCATTATAGGCTATAAATAAAACCATCAGTAGTTCATAATCCACTAGTGTTTCATCCAGACAAATAGCTTTTATTTCAAAGGAATTCCTGTATGTTGTTTACATGAATGTTTCGGAAACTGTAATTTGGATGATCCTTTGATATGAATATAATTTTACTTAAAGAATATTTTTTCTTAAAATATGAAAGTTATTTTAGGTTTGTATATGCTTAGGAGTTCAGCATGCTCAGTGGTTTGGTCACTCACTTGTTCTCAATTGTTTGAATGACCATCACTGATCATTGGAAAAAGAAATAGTACCCAGTGGAAATTCAATCTCATAGTTGTTTTTTCTTTTTTTTAAGTTCTTTTATTTGTAAAGCATGAAACTGCATCATTAGTTATCACTGTAAGAGCGACTATTAATTACTGCTTTGAAATATCTCTTCTTTCTACAGTGTCAAAATATTTTCAGTTTCAGCAGGACAAAACCATGTAATTCAAAATGTTCTTCTGCTGAGATTTGATTGCACACGGTGTCATGAGGAGTAGCTCTTACTATGTGTTGATTTGTCCACCAAAAGTAACACAGCTGTTGATCCATCCTTTGGCTACATCTTTAAAATTCTGTCCCCTGAGGATCACCAGGACCTTTTGGTTACAGTTTCTTTTTGGCTCCCCAGGCATTCCCTTAGCAGTCACTACATATCCTGTAGTTATAAATTTTTACTACTTTTCATAAGCTGCTTTACTTGCAAGTACAATAAAAATCTAGCTCATGGGTTTTATTTTACCTAAGTCTGGGAGCAACTTGGTGCGTTGCTTGTAAAATGTGCAAATGTGGGTTGTTGCTTGCAACACAGCAGATGGGATCATAGCAGGTGTGTGGCCATGGTGAAAGAGAGTTAAAAGTTCTTACATGCTATGAAGTGAAACAGGTCAATTTAAACATCAGTGAAGGTGTGTAAGGCAAACACATTGGTCTTCACGAGGACAATCTGGAAGTGAACACAAAGCTGATGCTTTCAGCCCCCTTGTCTTGATAGTGTACCCATTTTTACCCACCCACATGTAATACTTAGCAGTAAGGTGGACCAAATAGATAAGGTTTGCACAGAGCAATCTGTAACATGGAGACAACCTCCCTATAACAGGGCTAACGGTGCAGTCAGGTTATGCATGCGTTGTCCCTTCGCCCAGCTCAGGACTTGATGGGCTGTGATAAGCACATCTTGCTCAGTCCTTCAGGTGCTCACCAACAAAGAGTTTAGTAGACTGAGGAGATGGGAAACATAAACATACCTAAGGAAAGGAAAAGATTGAGGTGAGTTATGAGTTGCCAATAAAACTAAAAAGTAAAAGAATGCACATGCTAACATTTATTAGAATCCTGTATAAGGTTGATAGATGTCTTTGCATTCTGATGTAAGTTGCTAAGTCCTTGCAGGGTATAGAGAGAATGGAAGCCTATTGGGGAGATGCATCTCTGCAGGTGTCACAAGATGATATTTAAAATTTCCAGCTCCTTAAGAGGTTCAGATTATACTGGATTTTGGTTAGGGGCATACCCAAGCCTTAGGGAAGAATTTGGGTTCTTACATGTTTTCCAAATGTAAAAGCAGGTTCTCATAGCTCACAGTGTAGTACTATCACTTTTATTATAGTATAAATGCATATTTGCCTTGAAAATCTATGGCAGAAATAAAACAAAAGAGAGAGATGGAGGCTTTCACTAAAAATAGCAAAGGCTTTTTCCCCACAAAGGAATAGATAATTTTCTTCTGAGTCTATTATGTTGTAAGGCTTGATTCTCCATTTCATTATATTGTTTTTATGCCCATGTAACTCTGTTTAAGGATCCAGTGGAGTTACATCAGCATAAAACTGGTGTAATGGAGTGGAGAGTCTGGCCCATAGTGTACCATAGCATTGCAGTATGCATTACCAAAGACATGGTAACCACACACTTCAGTAGATAAGCTCTTTTCCCCTGCCAATTGCTCCATGCCTTTTTTTTCTTCTATAATCAGCCTTTTCTGAATTGCACTTACAAAGGTATTCAGGTTTTATTTGGGGGAGCTGTGTGCCTGTTGTAATATGCTATTGATTTTTCAATTTGCGGTATTAATATTGTTTTAGTAGTTTAATGCACTCATACAAAGAACAAAATAGAGCTCTTGTACTTGCACTGTAAAGATGCTCATTTAAAATGTTGCTGAGGCTTGAGTCCTCCTGGCTATTTGACTAAGATTGCGATGTACTGTATCAGTTTAATATCTGATATCTGGGGGACTATACTGTGCATTTGCAGGCCAATGGGCTCAATATTCAGATAGGTCTTTTTCATCTCAAACATCTGACTCTGTGGCTTATTGCAACAGAAAATTGCTGCTCTGATAACGCTCAGTAATACTCTTACATTATGTGAGCCCCAGGATACTATTTATGAATCTAACTTTTTCAGTACTGCCTGCAGGCACGAGGCATGAGCAAATGGTGTTTATTGCAGTGCAAATAGGGTCTTGCTCTTGTACAGATTCTGTGTGGAAGCTTGCACATTCCCCCATAGGATGGGAACCATATGGATTTTTTTTTCTATTTTTTTGGCAGCAAAATAGCGACCAGACGCTCCAGATAATGCAGTCCCCAAATGCAGAGGGAGGGCTGATGTAGGAGGGGAATGTGTGCTTTGTCTGTTAAGCAACAGACTGTTCCTAAAGCATTGCCTATGTGTGCCTGATGATATACTGGGAATGTGGTTCTTCTAACATCTCATAAAAATATTTTCTTTTGAGCCCTTTTTAAACCCCTCCTCATGACTGTCCAGGAACATCTTCTTGCCTCCTAGTAATCAATTTTTCCTGTGTGTACAGAATCCAGGTGTGCGAAAAGGACTATTTTAAATGCAAGTGCAGTGACCATTTTGCCTCTTCCCTCCCACCTGCCTTTCTAGGCTTGTGCTTCTAGCAAGAGAATTGCAGTCGAGGAGCAGGGATGCTGGATAGCACCTGCAAAAAAGAGCTGCATGGGCCAATATAAGGATGCAAACTGCAGTTGCAGAAAATGCATCTGAGCCTTCTGGAGAACTCTCCTTAGGGCTCACAGGTCAACTACCATAAGGCCTACAGCTCTCAAAGCACAGTCAGTACCAGATACTGTACATTTCAGTGCAAGGAAACATTGGGCCATAATTGAATGGCATATCTAAAATGAGTCACAGCTAGTATAATCCATATCTCTTTCCACTCCTTATTCTGATGTGCATGTTCCAATGACTGAGAATCTTACATTCCCTTGGACTTCTTAAAACATCCCTCTTCCACCTCATGTCACTTCTTCCTGAGTCTAAAGGATTGCTAATGCAATCCCAAGCCCTGGAAGGATAAAATCAAATATAGTAAGGTCAGCAGCTGAAGATCTTGTTGGGGTGCTGTAGTGTTTACAGCAGAGCAGACCACTCTGCATAGCAGGATAATTAGCCTGTTTGTATGTAAAGAGAATACAGGGAGATGCCTCCATGTCCCTGGGGTGAGACCGTGTTGAACCCTCTTTGTGAGCCAGCCTTGCTGGAGCCATGTATGATTGCCTCTCTGTGGCAGGTTGAGCATCCTGTTGTGGGGGATACTCTGCTTGAACCTATCCACACCATACCTCTGTACTTCACATGTGGCAGAGGTGGCTCCAGAATATACTTCTTCATTTCTTGCTCTGTTGAATTCCTTTAGGGAATATCCAAATCCTTTTCTTACATCCCTTCCGGCATCAGTGATACTGTGACAGGAAGAAAAACCTTTGTCTCCACATATAAAGGATTCATGATTGCAAAATGTTTGACCTATAGCCTGTCACAGTGACTTGGATTATTAAACTTGATTTATTATTATTTAAATTGAAATATATGAACTGGATTTTCTCACATTGTCATTTGCTGTGTCAAATTTTGTTCCTTTCTCTTCTTTGATGCTCTGGTGCATGCATTTTCACAATAAAGCTGAGTGTCCTGATAGTATGTTTTATTTGATGCCTATTTGAGAGCATTCCAAACTGCGACAGATAAATGGTATTGGCAGGGGTGTTGGAAGGGTTGTATTTTTCACATTACCAGAGTGTATATTCTACAAACTTATGTACTATTCAGATAACTGCATCTCTAAGCTGAAAATGAAATGGTTAGCTGTCTGTCAAGTTCTTGGCTTAGCACGCATTTTCTGTAAATTTGGTAGTATTTGCTTGGATTTATTGAAGAATTTATTCCAAAGAGTCAGCATTACTTTTGAATGCAAAGGTTTTTGTCCCCTGCACCCACCTTTTGTTTTTGGTGGTTCATGCAAGGTGTGAGCCGAGCATCGGTGCCAGGCTGATGGATGGAATTAGAACAGACTGAAGAAAAAAGTGTTGATTTTTCTAAAGAGTTTTGCTTTTACACTGTCCTCTGGTTCAAGAGGCTTATACATGTATGTATTCTATTATACATTTAACCTACAGAGTAAATTCTGTCAGTCTTCTGCCGAACATTTTCATTTGCCGCACAAAGCGCTTCTTAGTTCATCCACTTAGCAACAGCATAGCCAAAGTGACTTTTGGTTAACCTTCATCCGGGAAGAACTCCCCTGTAACAGGACTGAGACAACATGCACATCATCCTAATGCCATAGATAAACTTGGCTAGCACTGCAAAAATCCTTCCCCCACCAAATTTGTGTGAACATAATAGAGTGTAGTTGATACAAGCAGAGGGATATAAATGTTTCTAAGTTCTCATAATAGAATATACACAAAACTGGGCAAAGGCACAGTTTTAAAATAGTCTCTGTGTGAGCATTGTAAGGGCAGATAAATGTTCCTAAAATAGCAATATATTTCTATTAAACAAAAAATCACTCAGACGCCACCTGCTGCTTTTGGCATTTTAAAATCTTACTTGGAATAGAGAGAACAAATGATTGCTTCTCCGTCTCCCTCTCCCCTTCTAACTTCAAATGTTTCCACCCAACCTTCAGAGATGGCAGCCTGTTTTCCCAAGCCTATTGGTTGGATGAACTCGGTGATTATTTGAGCCTGCATGCAGAATGAATGCATCCAGTCTGAACTAGAATGATTAGTACTAAATCCGGGATGCCAGGGCGATCAGGAAATAGAGCACTTGTTTAAACACCAGTAATGATTTTTTTGTTGTTGCATGGCTCTCATAGAAAGCTACTGTTGATTGCCTCAGTGCGGGGAGAAGGAACATAAAAAGGCAGAGAGTGTAATCCACTTCACTGTTACAGAGAGCATATGTGCAAAATCTTCTGGTACTTGTAAGGTTGGTGCATGCTATATCTGCATGGGATTTGTATCAGACCCAGAGGACATTGCACAGAAGTATAGTTTCTCTCTCTCTTGAGGAGTCAAAAAAGCACTTTTTTTTGTTTTGTTTTACAGTTAAAACTGAAAAAAAAAAAAAAAGGAAAATAAAAAAATCTTTATGAGCACACAGATATTAAGTACTTACACAATACACCAGCAGTGATATTTTCCAAGTGATAATTTTATCAATAATCATTTACCCACAGGGAAATAGAATGAATATAACATTTATTATCGTCAAGCAAGAGATAGTGAAACTTTTGTTTATAGCATGCAACAGTGGAAATAAAAACAACTAAATCTGAGATTTTCAGTGCTGCCTGGGGCATTTATACTCATAATTTTTGATAAATTTCACCAGAAGGTAGGTTTTTAGCTCTCTATCTAGATGAATATGAAAATTTCAGCCAGAGTTTCTGTAATCATCCCTTAATAAAATAAATCAGGCATATACATGGAATGTGTTATTCTCAGCACTGAAGCATTAAGATATTAAAAGAAAACAGTACTGCATGTAAAAATGAAATCAGTTATCATTGTCTTCAATATCGTGTAAGAAATTTCCTTTCACTAGATAGCACTCTGGAAAATCAGCTGTCTTTGCATTTCAGATAATTACTTCTTGTGTTGTGAAGTTCTATATTTGTGCTAGTTGAAGTGAAAAAAATATGCTTTGTGTAAATATTCCTCCTCCTTTCCATTTTCAAGATCTACTCCGTGGAGCCATCACATTGTCTTTATTGTGGTTTTGGAAATAGATGGACATAATTACCTGTGCAGACTCTTTTTGTCCTTGCCTGGGAGGCAGGGAATTAGTCAGTCAGAGCCTAGCAGTCAAAAGGTTCAAAAATCTCGCTTTTGTTCTTTGTTTGCAGATTTTATTCCTCACCGTACAGTATTCCAACAAACCGCATGATTCCACAGACATCAATCACACCATTCATTGCTGCTTCCCCTGTCTCTACATATCAGGTACGTCAGATTTGTGCTTGTCTACTATGTTTCCCATTTAATTATGTTTTGGATGTTGGATGAAGGCAGAGTGGATACCACAGAAAACTGTGTAAGTGCTTGCACTCTTGAGTCACACTTTAAACAAAAGGCTTTTTAGTAGTATTCAGGTATCATTTGGTTTAGGGTTTTGAGTGTTTCCTGCATTCTTAAAACTAGCAATGAAAGCCACTGTAATTTTTTCTTATTTCAATCAGCTTCTCTAGTAAACAGCATTTTGCTTCATTTCCAGTTGACAACAGCAGATGCTTGTCATTCTTATTGAAATGTTTTGTCATTTTGGCTTCCCTTCATGAGCCAATTTTTTTTCAAATGCTTTTATTTTATAATTTATGTTGACTACATTGTATTTTGACCTTTTGACCTCAGCTGTATTTGTTCCAGTAACAGCATCCTTTAACAGCACTCATTTTTATCCAATAATCCCTGACAAAGCAAGATATTTTAGGATAACTCTCATATTCTTCTTTAGTCTCCCACACATTTTGTCTTTCAGAATTTCTCTTTTCAACATATCCCTCACAGATCTCTACTGGGAAATTATTGCCATGTTCTGGCTTTCTGAGATGGAAGTCAAAACCGGGTTGTATAGTTTTATTATTAGCCATTCTCTGGAAACATATGTGAAGCTGATCAGTGGCCATACATTTTCCCATTTCAGTTAGAATCATAGAATCAGAGAATATCCCAAGTTGGAAGGGACCCACAAGGATCACTGAGTCCAACTCCTGGCTCTACACAAGACCACCCAAAAATCAGACTATGTGTCTGAGAGGATTGTCCAAATGCTTCTCAAACTCTGGCAGGCTTTGTGCCATGACCACTTCCCTGGGGGGTCTGTTGCAGTGCCCGACCACCCTCTCAGTGAAGAAACTTTTCCTAACACCCAGCCTGACCCTCCCCTGTCCCAGCTCCATGCCATCCCCTCGGGTCCTGTCGCTGTCCCCAGAGAGCAGAGCTCAGCGCCTGCCCCTCTGCTCCCCTCGTGAGGGAGCTGCAGGCCGCCATGAGGCCTCCCCTCAGCCTGCTCTGCTCCGGGCTGAACAAACCAAGGCCATTCCTCACATGCCTTGCCCTCCACACCTTTCACCACCTTTGTTGCCCTCCTTTGGACATTCTCTAGTAGTTGTGTGTCCTTCTTACATTTTAATGCCCAAAACGGCATATAGTACTCAAGGTGCACCAGCACAGATAAGAGCAGGACAATCACTTCCCTTGGCCAGCTATCAATTCCATGCCTGACACACCCCAGGGTATGGTTGGCCTTTTTTGCTTTCCAGGGCACACTGTTGACTTATATTCAACTTGCTGTTGATCAGAAAGCCCATATCCCTTTCTGTGGGGCTGCTCTCCAGCCTCTCATCCCCCAGTCTAAACTTATATTCCATTTTTTTCTGTCCATCAGTACCCTTCCAGTCCTGAGTCCTGTGTGAGAAAAGCTGCACAAATTTGCAAAGCTGTGTGGTGGGCTGCTCTTAATGTTAAGATTGTTTTGTTTTGTTTTGAGGTAGTATTTTATTATCTACAGGTAATGCTGTACACTTAATATGTTTTAAACTTGATCTTCAAAGATAAAGGATTCTTGTCATTTTCTTTGACTTTCGTAACTGGAGAATGGGGACCCTGTGGCTTTCTCCTGCTCCTCCTTGTTCATGCTCAGTCTGAGATGCCATACACCCATCTCTGTGAGCTTGGAGATAGCCAGTGAGATGCCCACTGATGGCTGTAGCACAGGTATATTTTTGTGTACTTCTGTTTGTTGTGTTGCCCAGACTGATGCAAAAGAAAACTAGGATACACAGTTCTTGGGGTTAGTTCTGAGTTATGCTAGCAGATGGGCTGTCCACACTTAGCAAAAGAGGCAGCTACAGCTCAGAGATGGCACCACAAATGCACAAGAACTTTGTAAACATTTAATTGTCAGTAGAACTGATATATCCATGGAATCTGTTACATGTCAGTAGTCAGGCAACACAATAAAGAAAGACTTCAGTGAGGCACAGAGTTCGGATGAGAATGGACCCCATGATGCCAAAGGTAAGAGCTGCTTCTGGGGATAGGACGTCTTAAGCCAGCTTTGCAATGGAAGCTTTCCATCAGAGTAAGCTTCAAAAACTCTGAATTAGATCTGCAATTCTTACTGAAAACGGGATAAATCATTCTGGGATCTCTGAAAATGTTATACCTTTGAAAGTTTATATGGGTACTTCAAAAATAAACTTTGAACATTTTATGTCTGCTGCACTGTCAGTTGGATGACATATTCATGATTATATTGATGGATGAAAGCAAACAATACAAATGAAAAAGTAGGACAACATGGAATATTGAAGACTACTTTAAGAGATAAAACTGTGCATCATATTGGTGGTGCAATCTCTCAGACTCCTGACTTTGGTGGAGCATTATCAAATTAAATTTAAAAGCTTTTTCCAAAGTCAATAACTTTATGAAACATAAATGATTTTTGCATGGAGTTACATACCTTAAGTCTTTTACCAAAATGAGCTCTGTAGTTGCAATATAAATAACGTTTTCATGTAAATCATTGGAGTTCTGTTTTAAACTTTTCTGTGCTAATTGAAAGTATTTGATATGCAGGTCCAGAGTACTTCATGGATGCCTCATCCGCCATATGTTATGCAACCAACAGTAAGTGGATATGTGCTAATATCCAGATAAAAGTGCTTACACCGTAGCCTCACTCTGCTTGTCAGCCACATTAAAGTCCTAGGTCATTTAAGAGCAGCCAGCTGCTCCCTTTGACAAGAGCTCTATGCTGTAAAGATTCTGCTTCTTTAAGGAACATGATTTGATTTAGTGAAAAGAGGGGAACGGGTGATATATTATCTAATTACATTGATTATAAGAAAATAACTATCTCTAAAGTATAGTTTCTGAAGTTTTGCTTCAAGGACTGCAAGACAGCTACATTCCTGCATACTTTGAATTGTCAGGATCAACACATGTTAGCCCTCCCTTATATGCTTATCCATCAAAAAAGTCCTTTGTAGTTGTATATACTTTAAAGGATCCTCAATGTCTCAGTAATGCATTTCAAGTACTGGAAAAGGGTGAAGCACAGCTGTCTTACAGAATCTCTGCCAAATCTGAATCTGCTTTATGATTTGACCAGTCAACTCTTTTTTCTGTCTTATTTTTTTTCTGAGTAAATTTTCATCTTTCATCAATTTATAACTACTACTTAAAGCAGCATTAAACTCTTAGCACCATTTATTAGAAGCAGTGTAGTTGATTTTTTGTTTACCTCAGAGAAGAGTTTTGATGCACTTTCCCTAATGTTAGTGATATACTTGAAGGAAAGAACATACTGAAACCCTCTGCCTACAGATTGTTTTCATTTTGTTTCCTACATTTGATTAGTTTCTCAGGCATGGATCCACTCAACAGTGCCATTAATCAAAATTCAAATGTATATTCCACCTAAGCACTGATACATTGATTTATGTGAGGTTGGTAAAACTAAAATGAAGGTGTATTGTTTATGATTGCTCATTAAGTGTTAGTTAGGATGTTCATTACATTCATTTGTGTTCAAATATTTTGACCTCATAATAGATTAACATCTATTATTTTCTGTTGGGAGTTAGCTATACAAAAGCATAGATATAATTATCCTACATATTTAGTTTAGTAGCTCAGGATTCTCATCCCACTTTGAACTGCTCTTCCACATCTGTCTGAATTTTTTCAGTTTTCTCTAACCATGCAATGACCATAGTGTGTGACTGACCATCTCCAGGAAGACCAATAACCACCACTGTGGTGCTGCACCTCTCTGCAGACCCTGGTGGAAGTTTCCGTCTCAGTGGAGTAAAGCTACTGCTATGCTCCTTGTAGGGAGACCAAGATGTATCAAACAATCAATTTTGTTTGCTAATATTTGGATTTAACTGCAGACCACAAGATATCTTAGAGGTGTGGATATAATGTGTCATCAGACCTGTGGAAGCCAAAGGATCTCTGATCCTTGCAGAAATATTCCCTTTCTAACAGGAAGAACCTAAGCACTTTACCGATTCCAGTTTTTGTTTAAATGTATGTTTGAATATTGTTTGACCATGTTCAGCAAAGCATTTATGTTCTGTACTAGAAGCAGTGAGTATTTTGGTGTGGTAATTGAATGTATTTACCCCTTCCTAAAGGGCTGTGAAGAGAAAAATGGTTTCTATATTGAGTGGCATCCTCAACGTGCCGAATTAAATTGGTGTTCATTGCCAGTCAGAGAGTTGTATCAGTGAAAGGATATGTGCTTTTATGTGGAAAAGCAGAGGGAGAGTGGATAAGAAGTTTAACTCTTCAGTTTTGGTGTCATTGACGTTATGGGTTACCTCCATGTATTGTCTGTAGGTATTCCAGTCTTTTCACGGAAATTTTTTTCCATTCAGTTTCCCAAGATTACGTTCTTAAATAAATGGACACGAGGGCTTTAGTACTGGAAAAGTATAAAAGCAGAAAGGCAGAACTACTATTCCTGAGATTTCATTCAGATCTGAATTCTTTATTAGAAATGTCTGAAAAAATGTCAGAGAATTACTACACAACAGACTATCTTTTGAAAGGAAATGAAGAAAGTATCTATTCCAAGTTTACTTTAGTTTCATGCCTAACTATAGACTCTACTCTAGACAGCTCCATAGCTTAAAAAAGTATGAAGAAAATATTATGACAAAGTTGTCAGAATGTAAGACCCAATGAATTGATGAAACTGGGAAATTTCTAATTTGGTTAGCTTTTTGTTTCTTCTCGTAACTTAGTTTGCCATATTATTATCTAAATTGCTAGCACTTTACTTCACAGTATTTTATGTGATGATTGATTGCAGTGCATGATGTCCCATTGGAAACCAGTGTAGATAAAAATTACATTCCCCTTGCCCCAGGAACCAGAACATTTTGTTAAGCCTGTATTATTCTTTCTGAATAAAGATGAACTCTTACAGCAAGCACAGTATGAATTGCACAAATGCCGACAGTTAGTTTTTCGTTTTGATTATAAATATCCACTAAATTATGTTACTGGATGATTAGTTTTTCATTTCAGAAGGAAGCTCCTACTTGATACTTATGTATAATTTAACACCACATAGTTTCCCTTGTGACAGAAAAAGAGTCGGGCCCATGCTGCAGAGGAGACAAAGGAGGTTTTTCATTCAGAGAGCCATGCACAGACAGGACAGCTTGCTCCTGGGCTGGCAAGCTTGCCAACAGGAGGGAAAGAGCTGTGCTGCACAGCATCACAACCCTGCCTCTGCCTGCCTCTTCCCTGGCTGCCTGTCCCTGCTCGTTTGTCACCTCTGTGTTCATTGTCATTTAAACACCTTGCTCCTCCTTCACGGATATCCCCCCACAGTTGGGTGGCCTGCCAGAAATGTTGCTCATTTATTTCCCTTCGTATATCAATTTCAGTCACATCTTCCTGATGTGTGCATTCTGTATTCATTTACTTGGTGAATCCAAAAAACAACACTATGGTAAAAGATTATATTTCTGATTTCTTCTGTAGCTTTTCAGCTATGACCAGATAAACCTCTGGCCCTAATAGATAGCAATAACATATATATTACCTGGAAAGTATGTGCAGATATTGCTTTCCCTTCCCCAGCCTCATTTGTCTTACTTTTGTGATCTTCTTAAAAACAGACAATAACCAAAATGACATTAAATGAGAAAACAATGTTCAGAAATACGGGAAAAATTTTCCCAGGTCAGATGGGGCAGTCAAGGACTCTGAAAATACAGGATAATTTACTCATGATTTTCCCTGTAACTTTTAAACTTGATATACTAGCTTAATGTGAAAGAGCAGCTGCAATTTAAAAAGATTTTTTTCCATGAATTTTGCTAGCTTTTTACTAAGAGCCATGCAAAGTTAATAACAAATACATTGAGGTTGCATTGCTGTTTCAGAATAAGTAGTAGTATGCTGGAATAGAAGGGTCACACCTCCCACATCTTAGTGCTTGCACAACCTTCAGGGTTTTAGAAATGAGAATTCCAAAATCACGTGAACATGATGAAAAATTTACCTTTAGGCTCCTGTGTGACTCAGTTTTGAAAATGCATCTTTTGTCAATGGAGCCTTAACCTCTTTATAACCATGTTGACTTCACTCTGTCCAAATAAGAATGACTCACTTTTGCCAGTTTTGTTGCTTTTCCACGTGCCACAGTCCCTCTTGCTAGCTTTAATAGAAGACGAGCTGCAGAAGAAATATGGCTATGTGGAGTTGGACTCATACTGGCATAACATTTAATCCACTGATAACAGTCTGGGCTCCGTTTAGTTAACTATGGCTTTCAAAGTACAGTGTGAACTCATCCCTACTTGAAAGAAGTCTTGTATTTCATTACTGCCTTAGGATAAGGGTAGATGGATAGCGATGACAGAATCAAAACATAAATGGGATAAGAGTTATTCTGGGGATTTATAATATTTGCCATATTAGTGTGTTCTTCCTACAGTCCCCGAAGGCCATCTTATGGTTCAGCGAAAACTTTGAAAAACATGTTGTTTAAACTCAATTCATGTACAGATAATCTTCATTTTTATTAACAGTGACATTTGTGTAAAACTTTTTTGATTCAAATCTTTATTTCAAATCATGCGTACTCTTGCTCTCCAGAGGCAAGTATTTTTTTTTAGTGAACCAACAGAAATGCTCTTCCCTAACACTGCATACTGGATTTACACTTATCCTCTTTTATTTTCCAGTAAAACTATGCCCCCACATGTTCTTGTCAGTCTTGAACAGTTTCTGCGTAATAGCTGGAGAAAGAATATGCCATGAAAGGTGCAAGCAGGGCAGCATATGGAAAAACCTACTATTGATAAAAGTGCATTTGGGAGAACTTCTCTTCTGGACATTTCTCAAGGCCTTACGGCCCTTTTCGAAAGGTCAATGGCTTAACAAACGTCCTTATTTTTTTTTTTCCTGTCTTCCTTCCTCTAGCCCATGGCTGAATGTAGTCTGTCTGTCTTTAAAAGCACCAACAAAAACGTTCCTTATTTCATAAGCAGCGTAAAACCCCTGCTTTAGTGAGAAGCTAGGCTGAGTAACGACTCCAGAATCTTGCCTTTTGATTGTTGTGCATGAATGTAGCATAAAAAGTACAAACTGTCCAACTGAAATATATCAGTTTTCATTTTCTCACTAGCGACTCTGTTGTTTTGGATAGTACCCAAAATACCAGAGCAGTTTCAGTGTTTTGATTCCTACGCTCTTGAACAAAGAAGTTCCTTGTGCTCCCTTTGGTGTCCCTCTCCCAAGGCTGCTTTCTTTACCTCGCGTTTGTTGCTCTACCTTTTCAGCAAACCGAGCCAGGAGTCCATCTTGCATTTCGGTGTACGAGCGTAAGGGAACAAAGTATGTCCTCTGCAGACAGCTGAGTCCTGCATCCAAGATGAAATGTGAGAGTTCAGCTAGATGGTATGAAAAGTAAACAGGAAATAATCCTTGGAAATTGGAATCTCCAGCTATTCTTTTAACTTTTAGCTGTGTATTTTTAAGAGATCCTTTGAACGTGAACTTAGTTGAACTTTTAAGGCTAAAGAGTTTAGAGGTTGAAATAACTAACCAAATACCACTGCCAAAGTTCTGCTGAACAATTTTAATTCCAGTGTTTCCCGAGG